TCCCCGCGGCCGCCCCGCCCCCTTCCTGGGCTTGGCAGGCCCTCCCCAGCCCTGCGGGGTCCGGGCAGCCCCGCCCGCAGCGGGGCAGGGCGGCCCCTGCCTTCCTTCCTCAAGGCAGCCGGGGAAGAGTTTCTCCAAATGCTGGTGCTTTTTACTCCCTCTGTGCTCTTCGGGATCCCCAAAGCACTCTTGGTTTCTATCTCCACCCTAGCCCAGTCCTCCTATGTGCTAGGGAAATATAGCAGGGTCTGACCTCCGTCCTCCCCAGCCCCTCGAACCTGAGGCCCAGGGTAGGGGAAATGCCTGCCCCGCAAAGTCTGGCCAGAAGCTGGTCTCTCACTTGCCTCTACCTATGGGGCTGGGGTTCCAGCGCCCAGGCCTCTAGGGTTACTCAGCTACACACCCAAGCAGAGGCTGCAGTCACTCAGAATCCTAGGACCAGCCCCTCAGTGGGGCCGCACCGATACCTTCCGGGTCTACAAGTCTGGCCAACCAGCCACCAGACGCTGGGAAAAGGCTGAGACACCTGAGGGCTGGGATTGTGGGACCACACCCAGTCCCATAAAGGCGCCGGGATGGTGGACGGCAGCACTTAGCTGAGTCTCACCATGTTGGAAGCCAGTCCTCTTCCCTTGGCTCTGCTTCACAGGTGGGGAGGTGGTGGGGGAAGCAGAGGTGCACCCCTTCTCTCTGAAGAGTCAGAGACCCCGTGTATTCAGAGCCTCCAGGGCTGAATCAGTTGAGGCCATCAGAACTAAGGCATGTGAGGGCGTGGCTTAAGCCAACTGGCATTTCCATCCTGCCAAGCATCACTGCTAATCCAGAAGTAAAGCCCTCTAGGCCCAGACCGGTGACATTGCCCTCCAGCTGTGGAGGAGGCCAAGGCCCTGCGCTGCCCCCTGGTGGCACCACGCGGAGGGCAGGGCTCTAAGCTGGCGGAGCTCAACTCTCCACCACTTACAGCTGGAAAGGCTGAGGGCTGACAGGGGCAGGGTTCCTCCCCAAGTCAATGGCCAGTGGGGGCCAGGCCAGACTCAGTCAGCCTCTCTCCCACCCTCTGCACCTTTCCCTCTTTCTTCCTGGCCCACCTGGGCTTAGCAGAAGTACCAGACTCATAAAGACTAAGAGCTGAGAGAACAACTCCAAATTATCTTTTATTTATACAAAAAGGGCACGTTTAGCAAAAGACACACAGAAAAGAGTGGCTATGGCCTGGAGACAAGGCAGGGAGGTGACAGGCTTTCTGAGGCCCTCCTGGGGGAGAAGGGGTCTGGAATAAAGTGGTGAGAAGTCCTGGGTAAGTGCTGAGTGGTGGGGGCCACAGAAAGGAGAGAGCTCCAGCCGGATCAACACTGCTGGCAGGTCATGGGTGGGACTCACAGTGACCTCGCTGCTACCTACTGCGGGGGTCCCACGCAGTGCTGCCGACTGGAGTGAGAGCCACCCCTGGTTCCTGGAGGGCACCCACCAAGGGACACAGGACAGGAAGTGCAAGTCGGGGCGAAGGCCAGGGAGAAGCAGGTGCCCTGCAATGGCCAGGAAAGGTCCAGACTCCCAGGCAGAGGCGCGTCCTGTTACGTGCGGGCATTCCGCTCTGTCTCTGCCAGGCACTCTCTGACTAGGGCCCGGGCATGGATGATGCCTAGGATGGGGGTGGGAAAGTAACACACAGGGTCTCAGTGACCCTCCACAGTCCAGCCCTGCCCCACCCACCTCTGGAGGAAGACCCCTCCCTCCCTACCCCCTTTCAGTTCGGCAAGAGGGACGATTATCTAATGAAGACCTGGATGACATTAGAGGTTTGGATAATCCTCAAATTTGCCCTGTTAAAATACAAATTCCCTGGTCCTTCCCTAGAAACTGACTTAATTTCAATTCAATTCAATACACCTCCGGATAATGATACTGGCCCTAGTCTAGGCCTGGCTCACATGACCTACAGATGGCCTTCCTGGAGGGGAAGGGAGATGGGGTGG